CATAGAACTCTCTTTCTAGCATACAGTGTAATTATCTATTGTGTCTGCTGCCTTTCTCATCCTGTGAGAACCCGCTATGAATGAAGGCAGGAATCTCTGCTTTGTTGGAACACTCATTTAGCACCTGCTGAGCTGCACTGACTGCATAAATGAATGAATGAATGTTTATGCATTATATACTTATAACCTCCTCAATGAGCAGAGTGACTTTCAACCTGCCATTGGGCTTATGGGTAACCACTGGGCTGCTAACCACAAGGTTGGTGGTTCAAACCCACCAGCTACCCCTCGGAAACCCTATACAGGGTCGCTATGAGTCAGAACCGACTCGACAGCACACAACAACAGGGGAATTGCGCTGGCACGAACCTATCCACATGGACAAAAAAGAAGCTGAACTCTTATCTCACAATATATGTTGTTGTCAAGTGCCTTTGAATTGCTTCTGACTCATAGGGTTTCCAAGGAGCAGCTGGTAAATTTGAACAACCAACCTTGTGGTTCAAACCGATCCTGCAGTCCAGCACATTATCCCACAGCAAATTCCAGGTGATTTTAACACATAAATGTAAAAAATGAAGTCATCAAAGCCTTGGGGTAAAACCTTAAGTGATCAGATATGCCGTTTGACAATATAAAAACTTTGTTAAAGGTGTGTGGCAAAAGGTACCACAAATAAAGTCACCAGATAAGTGATAGATTGAAAAAAAGATAATTATAATGCAGATACAGGAAACTGGAGTATCTTTAATCTAAATAAATTATTCTTACAAATTGATAAGAAAAGGCAAGATCATTGGAAGAGACATAAAAGATATGCATACACAGTGCACATAAAATCAAGTATAAATAAAAGAACTCATGTTTAGACTACCTTAGTCATGGAAATGAAATTAAAGGACCAAGACATAAGTTAGCCCTTTATACCATCTGATGGCAGAGTGCTGGGGTAGCACTGTAGATCAGCACTGGACTGCTAATGGAAAGGTTGGCAGTTCAAATCTACCAGCCGCTCCTTGAAAGCCCTATACGGTGTTGCTCTGAGTCAGAGGCATCTTAACAAGAACAACCATCTGATGGTGGGATGTGGTAAGCAGCGCTGGCTGCTCATGTTTTGTGTGCTCAGGAACATGTGAACTCCCTCATGGCCTTTCCACGTGACCTGGTGGTGGTGCTGAGCATGCTCAGTGGGCTCTGTGAGCCAGCAGCTCCACTCTTGCAACCTTGTCAGAATAAAGCCACTCTTTGGTCAGAGGTATGAACCGATGTTTAATGCACTCTTGCTCATCAGGGTAGACCGGGAACAAAGCGGGAAGGTTTTTCACTCAGGAAACGACTGGACAAAGTGCAGCATTTTCATGGAAAATTTCCAGCATCTTTTCAACGCATTTCCCCATTAACTTTTTGAAGTGCCGCCTGTATGTAAAGCTTATAAAAAGAATGCATTTCTAAAACCCAACAACTCTGCGGCCGAGTTGGTTCTGACATGTAAAGACCTACAAGGTATTTCAGTGAGCAAAGAAGATAGTTGTTGTTGTTGTTGTTGTTACGTGCCATGGAGTCGGTTCTGACTCACAGCGACCCTGTACACGGTTTCCGAGGCTGTAAATCTTTACAGGAACAGAAAGCCTCATCTTCCTCCCACTGGTAGTTTCGATCTGCTGACCCTGAGGTTCACAGCCCAATTTGTAACCACTATGCTACCAGAGCTCCTTAAAGAAGATAGAGGCGTATGTATAATGCGAGTTGTTCCTTTAATGCCAGTTTGTTACGTGCTGTTGAGTTGGTTCCAGCTCAGTGACCCTCTGCACAACAGAAGGAAACCTTGCCGGGTCTGTTACGCTTGAGCCCACTGCTGCTCCACTGTGTCAGTCTATCTCCTTGGGGGCCTTCTTCTGTTTCGCTGACCCTCCACTTTACCAAGCATGATGTTCCTCTCCAGGCGCTGGTCCCTCCTGACAATATGTACCAAGTGTCAACATCCTGGCTTCCAAGGAGCACTCTGGCTGTACTTCTTCCATGACAGATTTGTTTGTTCTTCTAGCAGCTCATGGTACTTTTCATATTCTCCTCTAACACCGTAACTCAAAATCCACCAATTCTTTTCTAGTCTTCCTTATTCATTGTCCAACTTTCACATGCATTTGAGGCTATTGAAAATACTATGGCTTGGGTCAGGCGCACCTTAGTCTTTAAACTGATTTCCTTCTTGACTGCTGTTTACATGAATGTTGATAGTGGATCCAAGCAAAGTGAAGTCTTTCACAATTTCAATATTTTCTCCATTTATTGTTATTTACTAATACCAACTATTGTTGTTAGATGCTGTCAAGTCGGTTCCAAGCCATAGCTACTCTGTATAGGGTTTCCGAGGAGAAGCTGGTGAGCTTGAACTGCTGACCTTGCAGTCGAGTGCATTAACCCACAGCACCACACCAGGATTCCACTAATAATGGCCCCCAAATAAAACTATATAAACGTCTGTGTTGTTGTTGCCCTCCAGCTGACTGTAACTCACGGCAGCCTTATGTTTTTGTTGCTCTGAGTCCGTTCTAACCTGTAGAGACCCTGTGTAGGGTTTCCAAGGAGCAACCAAGTTCAAACCAAGTAGGTTTGAACTGCCAACCTTGTGGTTAGCAATCCAGTACTTATCCTGCAGAGTCACACCAGGACCCAAGCCTTATGTGTAACAGGACAAAATGTTGACCAGTTCTGTGCCATCTTTCCTTCAGCCTGAGCGGGTCATCTTCTAGCACTTGGTTGTTGCAACGTTGTTGTCATAGCAACGCCGTGCACACCAGAACAAAGCACTGCCCAGTCCTGCGCCATCCTCACAATTGTCGTTATGTGTGAGCCCACTGCTATTAAATGGAACCATGGTGCTGGTGGTGATGTGCCATGGAGTCAGTTCCAACCCACAGCGACCCTGTACAGTGTCTGAGGCTGTGAATCTTAAGGGGACAGTGCTCTGTTGTTATTCCTGAGGGTCTCACGGGCTGGTTTCTGGAAGTAGCCCACCAGATCTGTCTTCCTAGTCTGTCTGAATGTGTCTAGATGTGCACATGGTGTTATCAGTGAGTGTCTATGCCTGGAGACAATAGCCCACACCGGGACACAACACTTACACTACAGCCCATTTGTGTGGTCCTGTGTGTGCACTGGTGCTTTGGAAATGGAGCTGCTGGCCTGTCCACCAGCACCCAGCATGACCCTGTCTCTGTGTGTTTGTGTGTGTGTGTGCGTGTTTATGTGGGTGTCTGTGTGTCTGTGTCTCTGTGTGTCTCTGTGTGTCTGTGTATCTGTGTCTGTGTGCGTGTGTGCACTGGCGCATTTGAAATGGAGCTGCTAGCCAGTCCACCAACACGCCCCTGGAGGACATAGAACAATAGATGCATAGGCTGCTAGGGGCTATAAAACTTTATGGAAGCTGACAGCCTCAACTTGCTCCTGTGGAGCTACTGGTGGATTCAAACCAACAACCTTCCAATTAGCAGCTAGTGCTTAACCCACAGTATCACCAGGACCCCCTTACAGCCTTGTAAGCAAGTGAAACTTGAGTAAAGGCAGACTATCAGGACAATGTGTGTACCAGGATGCTGTTTAGCATTTTGGAAATGCTCCTACTGTCCATGTGTAAGGAGTCCTGGTGTGGCGCTGTAGGGTCAGCACCCCACTGCTAACTGCAAGGTGGGCAGTTCAAACTCAAGAACCACTCCTTGGTACAGGGTGGCTGTGAGTTGGAACCAACTCCACCGCACTTATCAGCAACAATTACTACTACTATGGAGTTCTGGTGTGGCGCTGTAGGATAAGCACCGGACTGCTAACTGCAAGGTCGGCAGTTCCTAGCCACCAGCCACTCCTTGGAAACCCTATACAGGGTCGCTCTGAGTTGGAACCAACTCCATGGCACACTACTGTCACCACCAGTAAGCTAATGGCAGTTAGAACCCATCTCGGGGCATCTTTGGTAGAAAGACCTGAGGATCTAAGTCAGTAAAAGATGTGAAAACAACCACCGCCACCCCACCAAGCCCATTGTCCTGGAGTTGGTTCCAGCTCTTAGTGAGCCTGTAGGGCAGAATAGAACTGGCCCAGAGGATGTCCAAGGAACGGTGTTGGAGAGGAATACTGAAAATACCATGGACTGCCAGAACAACAATTCTGTGTTGGAAGAAGGACAGCCAGAGTGCTCCTTGGAAGCCAGGATGGAGAGACACTTTTCTTATACTCAGATATATTGTCAGGAGGGACCAGTCCCGGAGAAGGACAGTCTGCTTGATAAAGTGGAGGGTCAGGGAGAAAGAGGAAGACGCCCAACGAGATGGATTGGCACAGGGGCAGCGGCAATGGGCTCAAGCAGAACAATTGTGAGGAGGGCACAGGACTGGGCAGTGCATAGAGTCACTAGGAGTCAGAACCAACTCAGCGGCACAATAACAAACCTTTACCGAAGCAGACTGTCACATCTGTCTCCCACAGAGTGGCTGATGGTTCCAACTGCTGACTTTTGGGCAAAAGAACCCGTAAGGAGCAGTTCTATTCCATACCCCAAGCCACCCAGAGTCGGCAGCTGCTTTGGTGTTTGGTGTGTAGCTGAATTCGTCCTGGTCACTTGTTTTAATTTTATTCTCTGGGTCGTGAGTGCCCGGTGCCTCAGGGAGAGACGGGAGGAAGGGGGTGGGGAGGTGAGAGGATTGTCTTTTTCTTTATACAACTTGAGTGCAGTGATCAGAGAGAGGGTGGGGAGGGACTGATTGTATGCATTGGCTTCAAAGAGGAACCTAACAATGCTGAGTGCTGACAAACCACCTTTGCGCTGCACGCTACAAATGCACAGAAATATTTCTACTTTTACTCACAGTCCCCTCAGCATTCTTTCTTCAGGGTCTCTAACTTAATTAAGGGTCTTTGAGTTCCTTCTAGGACTGTAGAAATCTTGGCAGGGAGGGAACTGAATGGACAGGATCTGAATGCTTGTCTCCTCCTTTCCCTCTCAGCACACGATGGCATTGTGATTAAGATCGAGGTCCAGACCAACGATGAGGGTTCAGAAAGTGTGGAGACCCCGGAGCCCCTGATGGGACAAGTGGAGGAGCACGGATTCCAGGACTCGGAGCTGGGGGATCCCTGTGGCGAGCAGCCAGACCTGGACCTGCAGGGACAGGAGAACACTCTGGAAGAGTCCACAGAGGGCTCCAGTGAGTTCAGCGAGCTCAAACACATGCTGGCGCAGCAGAGAAACTGCACAGGTAAGTCCGGGCCGAACAGGGAGGCTTGCCTCAGGGAAGCTCCGGGTGGACAGATGTGAGAACCCCAGGCATTGCACTGCTGAGTGTAGGTTTCTTGCCACAGGATTTGTAAACATGTTTCTGAGCTCAAAGGGGGACTGGCAGTCATCTGTCTAACCGCCTTGTGTTACAGACAGAGGAAGGTCAAATAAGTGTTCCAAGATCACCCAGATAATGGCAAGGCTAGAACTTCTAATTCCTGACTCGTCCCTGTTTTTCTGTGACATTAGAAACCTCAGTTAACCTGAAGATTTCAACCCTTGAAGTGCATGTTTGGTTTTTAAACTAATTTTTTTTAGTGGTGTTGAGATTAGACACAGCAGAACATAATATGCTCACCCAACAATTTCTACGGTGACGTTCCGGCTGTGCAGCCTTCTCTTCTGAGCTGTGCCTCCCGTAAAGCGCCACCTCATCTTTCAAGTCATTGTTGTCAATTTGATCCCATGCAGTTCTTTAAAGTACACATGGACTCATCAGGTTAAACTGTCGTTTCATTTCCTGACTCTTTGGATAGGCATTTACTGCCAAATGAAAAGTTGCCTGTTCCAACCCAACTTCTGCTGCTCTGCAGGAGAAAGATGAGGCTGTGCCTGCTCGTTCCCTATACAGTGTTGCTATGAGTCAGAATTGGTGATGGAAATGGGTTTGGTTTGGGGTTTGCTTATTGTTTAAGGTAAAGAAGACTTCAGGGGGTACTTCTGGCTTCAAGTTTAAAGGTTACCTCATGGTAATAGTTTCAGGGGTTCATCCAGCCTCAATGGCTCCATAAAGTCCAGATTCCATGAAATTCTTTTCTGCATATTCCCCCTTTTGATCAGGAGTCTTTTATAGAATCTTTGATCAAATCATTCAGTCATGGCAGCTGGGCACCATCCAGTTCCTCGGGCCTCATGGCAAATGAGGCAGCTGTTGGGAGGCACTTAGCATTCGGGGTTTTGCCCTTTTCCTGACTCTCCTTCCTTCTCGTACTCCAGGTCAATAAGGACCAAGTGTACCATGTTTTAAAATGACTGATTATACTCTCTGTCCCATGTAGAACACACACACACACAAACAAACCAGCAAAACCTCAAGCCCGTTTCCATCAAGTTGAACTCAAATTCATTCCAACTCATGGCAAGCCTGCAGGACCCTAGCTCTGGACTACAAAGGGTTTCCCGGGCTAGGGTCGCTATAGGCCGAAATCTACACGCCGGCACTTAACAACAATAACAACCTTTACAAAAGCAGCCTGCTACATCTTTCTTCTGTTGAGTGGTTGGTGGGTTTGAACCATCTGCCTTTTGGTCCCTTTCCTGGGAGAACATAGGTATCATCTTTGTGTGCGAAGTTATGAAACTTCAGGAACATCATTTTTGAGTACAAAGAAGAGAACAGTACGGAAGTGGGCTCACAGTGGCCTGGCCCCAGAATATCTTTTGGATAGATCATTATGTAATTTTAAAATTCACGATGGGATTTAGTTAACTAATATTTTATGCAGGAATTTAAAAACTACATTCCTAAGGGAAATGAACCTGAACTTACTTTTTTTTTTTCCCATCACCCTTACCTAGTTTTGAAAACAAGATCATATTAAACTTATCAAATGAAAAGGGCAGCTTTTGCTCTTTCTCTGTATTCTGGGGAAAAATGTGTACAGCTTATGAGCAAAAGAATCACCATCGTATCAGTTAACATATTATTATATTTACAAGTATATCCACATCCGTTTTAATTGTTTTTTAAAATTATGGTTTTTTTCCCCATTTTTCATTTTATCTATAGATAATCCCTCTGCAGTTTACATAAAATATCATCCTCCTTGGTTAGATGGACCGCACGCCATTGGTTTTTAAATATACCACATTATCTTTCTTGAAACCGTCTGAAAGACACAGGCAAATTATATTGCTGTTAACTGCCGTGTAGTTGGTGCTGACTCCTAGTAACCCTATATAGGGTTTCCGTGGAGTAGCTGGTCAGTTTGAACCGCTTACCTTGCAGTTAGCGGCCCAGTGCTTACCCCACAGCGCCACACCAGGGCTCCTTATGAGGAGGTGCTAAACTGGAAGCTTCCTAATACAAATTTCAGATTGCCAGTTAAGTTAAGCATTCTAGTGGCACTAAACAGTTGTTAGTGGAATTCTGAGTCTTGAATTTAAATTGCTCCTTGGAAACCCTATACAGGGTCGCTATGGGTCGGAATCAACTCGACAGCACTTAACAACAACTCATTGAAAGGTTTCATTCTTATTTCACTAAGAAAAACATTTTTGGTGTTCAAGGAGAGTTTCAATCTTCTAAGACCCATATTTTCTACTTTGTCTTTCATAGACAACTGCATTTTCAGGAGAAACACCAAGGCAAGTAGTTAACCAACCTCTTAGCCTGCCTCCTCCTTCCTGATTTTTTTTTTTAAAAAGGTGAACGTATACACAGCAAATAAGGTTCCCGTTTAGTAATTTTTACATACACATTATTCAGTGATTTGGGTTATTTTTTTTTTACTCTTTCCAATCTGGTTGTACCACTTCCATTACTTTAGTCTCCCTGCTTCCTTATTTTCTCATCTTTGCTGTAAGAAGAGTCTTGACCATCTGGTCTCACAGAAATGACTTTTTAAAAAAGAGCTCTTATTCACAGGTGATATTATTTTATGAGCCAATCTATTATTTAGCTAAAACTTGACTTAAAGGAATCCTTTTGGTTTAAATAGTACCTCATGGCAGTAGCCTCAGGCAGTCCCTGTCTCACCTGGGCTAGGAAGTCTGAACTTCTAAGGAATTTGAGTTCTGGTCCACATCTCTCCGTTCTATCAGGACCCGTCCATAGTAACTGTGAGCAGGTGGTGGGAACCAGGCATTCTCTGCTGCTTCTGCTCTCACGGTGCATGTAGACTGTTGGTCTCGTAGAATAAATATGCCCTTCTCTGATTCTTTGGTTTCCTTTTTTCTCTTTTGTTCTGGATGAGTCCCTTCCCGATCTTTTAAATATCCCGGTCCTAGGATGTTCCGGGTCACTTTCTGATGAGAATCCTGGGGGTGGAAGTAGCATTTTCGTAAGGCAAGAGTACTGAGCTGGGATGCAGCACACTTGGGTTCCAGCTTTAACACTGCAACTGACTGGGTTCAGAGCAGCAGACTGTGCTATGGCTTGGGAGCCAGCTAACGAACGTACAAGGCTTCGGACAAGTCACAGACATTGCTAGCATCAGTTTCTCTGTCAGTTGAGCGGGGGACATCAGATGGTTCTACACTGCAAGCTCTAGGCAGGTCTATGTTTTTATTTACTTTATTAGGAAACACCATTCCCTATCTCGGGGTCTTGGATACCCTTTCTGTAAAATGGAGATAATATTTACTTGTCTTATCCTATAATAAGATACGGAGCTCTGGTATGATGCTGTTGGATAAGCACTGGACTGCTGACTACAAGGTTCATGATTCAAACCCAGCAGCCACTCCTTGAAAACCCTATACAGGGTCACTATGAGCTGATGTCACCTAACAACAACAACATAATATTATGGGTATGAGAAAAGAGGTGTGACTGTGCTTTGGAACTGTTATTTTTGTTTGCTTTTTACGAATTCCGTAAATGCACTGTCATTATGTCTTCCGTCTCACAGCTGGACTCAGATAAGTGACGTTCTCAAGATCACACAAAGTCGGTGACTAAATGTTGTTGTTGTTAAGTGCTAGTTGAGTTCGTTCTGACTCATAGCAACCCTGCGTAGGGTTCGCAAGGAGCAGCCGGTGGGTTTGAATTGTCAACCTTGCAGTTAGCAGTCCAGTGCTTATAGTACAAAGCCACACCAAGACTAAAAGTAAGAGTTCCCCAATTCAGTTTTTAGGGAGTCACAAGCCACTTTGAGAATGTTCAAATTGGAGTTTGAGGCTATTCCTTCTCTCTAGAATTTACCTTCCAGAATTTCTGTGTTGTAAAGGGCCAAGCTAGAGGTGTGGGCTGGCGCTTATGGGGCACCTTCTGGGCACATTTGGGAATGGTTGTTGGAATCGGCCCACACACGGTTGCATTCTTTCAGTCAACTGAGTTGAGAGTCAGGATTCGGAGGCTGCAAGTCGGGACAGTCAAGGAAGGGTTTGAGAAGACAGGAGTTGGGTGTTAAATTGATGGGTGTGCGTTAGAGAGGGGGAAACATTCCTGGAGAGAAGGAGAAATCTCCAGGTAAGCACAGGAGACAGGTAGAGTGGTCTGGCTGAGCAGAGCTCGTGGAAGGAGACTGTAGAAGGGGGAGGGTTGAGAGCGTTCAGACCCTCTGACGCATGCGCTAGAATTCCCACCTTGACCACCTGAATGAAACTGAAAACGAAAACAAGGCTGTCATCCAGCACCCGGAGAGCTGCAGGCAGGCTGGGCCTGGGCGCCTCCTCTGGGGCTCTGCCTGCCTCCATCGGTTTGTCTCCTGTTGGGTGCTGCCCGCCTCAGCCCAGGAAACGGGCAGCCGTTTTGCTTACTTCCACCAGCTCCTCCCAGAACCAGCCCTCCCTACTCCTCCAAGGGCCCCTCAGAAAGGGCGCGGCGCTGTGATGGGTGATGGGGATGGAGGAGATGAGGTGGGTCCCACCAGGGCCAGGGGCCGCACTAACGTCTTCCTTCTGTTTGTCCTTCCCGGGTCCTGGAGCAGAGGGCATCGTGATCAAAACGGAGGAACAGGACGAGGAGGAAGAAGAGGAGGAGGAAGAGGAGGAGGAAGAGGAGCTGCCCCCGCACCTGCAGTCTCTAGGGCAGCTGTCCGGTCGCTTCGAGGCGAGCATGTACCAGGCCCCACTGCCCGGGGAGCTGTCCCCCGAGGGTGAGGAGAGCCCCCCACCACTACAGCTGGGGAAACCGACCCTGCGGAGACTAGCCCCCGTGGCGCACAGCGAGCGGCACCTGGGCGAGCCTCGTGGGCCAGCCGGGCAGCAGCAGCGCAACCGGCGCGGCGGGCGCCCCTTCACCTGCCTGGAGTGCGGCAAGAGCTTCCGGCTAAAGATCAACCTGGTCATCCACCAACGCAACCACGTCAAGGAGGGCCCGTACGCATGCGCCGAGTGCGAAGCCAGCTTCCGCCACAAGCAGCAGCTAACGCTGCACCAGCGCGCGCACCGCGGCCCGCGCGCACCACCCTCACCGGAGCGTGCGCCTGGCCTGCACCCCAAGCACGCGCTCAAGGCGCGCCCCAAATCGCCGGGAGGCGGCGGCGGCGGCGGGGGCGGCGGGGGTAGCAGCTCCAAGCCCTACCAGTGCCCCGAGTGTGACAGCAGCTTCAGCCACAAGTCCAGCCTGACCAAGCACCAGATCACGCACACGGGCGAGCGGCCCTACACGTGCCCGGAGTGCAAGAAGAGCTTCCGCCTGCACATCAGCCTGGTCATCCACCAGCGCGTGCATGCCGGCAAGCACGAAGTCTCCTTCATCTGCAGCCTGTGCGGCAAGAGCTTCAGCCGCCCGTCGCACCTGCTGCGCCACCAGCGGACGCACACGGGCGAGCGGCCCTTCAAGTGCCCCGAGTGCGAGAAGAGTTTCAGCGAAAAGTCCAAGCTCACCAACCACTGCCGCGTGCACTCGCGCGAGCGCCCGCACGCCTGCCCCGAGTGCGGCAAGAGCTTTATCCGCAAGCACCACCTGCTAGAGCACCGGCGCATCCACACGGGCGAGCGGCCCTACCACTGCGCCGAGTGCGGCAAGCGTTTCACGCAGAAGCACCACCTGCTGGAGCACCAGCGCGCGCACACCGGCGAGCGGCCCTACCCGTGCGCGCACTGCGCCAAGTGCTTCCGCTACAAACAGTCGCTCAAGTACCACCTGCGGACCCACGCGGGCGAGTGACGCCGGACGACGGCCGGGGCCTGGCGGGGCGGCCTAGCTGGGGGTAGAACTTTCCGATTCCCTTTTGGATACTGTGGTTCTCTTTGATAATAATAGAGTAATTTTTAAAAGACAAGCGTTTCCTGTTTGCCGTTTTTGTTTGCTTCTGAAGGGGCGGGCAGAGGACGTAGTCCCGCCTGGGGGAAGGGGGGCCCATCACCCGGAAGGAGATGCCCGCCAGGCTGGAGATCTTCAGGAAGGAGCTCGGCCGGCCGTCTAGAATGATGGAGGGCGAACCTCCGGCAGCGTGAGCCTGGGCTGGCAAGATGGTCCTAGAGAGGAAGTTGGGCCCAGGTGACTCCTGACCAGAGGGAAGAAGTGTGAGGCCTCTTAGGGCCAATCTTTGGGGGAGCCACAAAAGGCACATGTTTGTCCGAACGTTGTTTTTGAAGGTTGCACCCAGTGTATCTTTCCATCTGTCGAGTGCCTGAGCGTGCCCCGGTGCCCTAGGAATTCATTCATTTCCAGTCACTTCCCAGTGAGGCGTAGAAGGGGAAACTGCAGACGTATTACACTGCCCGAGAGCTGTTTACCCGCACCCTGGGTCTGCCAGTGGCCCTGAGAGCGAGCCTTAAGGGAGATGGAGGGAGCCAGAAAATGGCCAGCTGGCCTGAAAGGACACAGGAGCCGGAGCTAGCATGTAAGCTGTGGACAGGCTGGAGAGAAAGGGCAGCAAAAGAACAACGGGGGGGAGGGGGGGGTAGTACATTGTTTACTCTGAAGGGACCACCAGGCCCCTTCCGTTTTTGATAAAAGTCAACCTGAGGTTCAGAGAGGAGAGGTGGCCCAAGAGCCACTTAGAAATGATGTCTTTACGTTCGCATTTTTTTTCCCCAGACTACGATAGGAGATGGTGAAAGCAGCCAGGGGCCGGAGCAGAGGCCCCGGCTGGCCTGAGGACACCGAGAGGAAGCCAGTCCCTGCGCTGAGCTCAAGGACAGATGCGGGCGCAGGGCGCAGTGTGACGTTTGTGTGCGGTAAATGCTTAGCGGTGGCGAACACCCTGCAGATGGGGAAGGCTTTCTCTGGGGGATATTCTGATGAATCAGAAGTGGGATCAAAGCCTGACTAGGGAGTAGTGGCTGGCTGAACCGCTGGGCTCGTGCAGAAAAACCAGGGTCCAGAAGGTTGGCTTGGAGTAGAATCTGGAGATGCTGAGGGATTTTGAGTTCAATGCTCCGACTCTGGTGTTTGAATATGACTTTGTTTGAGAAGCAGTTGAGAAGGGTCAAGCAGGAGAGAGACATGATGCAAGGAAGAAACATCAGGAGAATGAATGTGATGGAGGAGAGCTGAGAGTCAGAGGCATGCAGAGGACCTGTGTTGGCCCGAAAGAGCCCAGAGGAGGGAAGCTGTGGGTGGAGGAGGAGATGACAGAGAACATCAGAATGTTGGAAACCTAAAGAGATGTTAGCAGAGGTTGTTTGAAGATAAGTGGAGAGTCGTCAGAGCTGAACATCCTCACTTGTCCTGGAATTTGAGGACCTGGGCATGTGGAGATGTTCATACTATAGCAGTTTTGTATCTAATCCCAGTTAGAGACTCAGTGGAGCTTGGTCTGTGTATAGTGTTATCAGAACCTCCTCAGCAACACTGTTGGAGGCAAGTCAGAACAGAACCTACAAGCCTTCCTTTCCCCAGGAAATCTGGTTTTTAAAACGAGTAAACCAGCTAGGCTGGCCTTTCTGTGGAGCTGGCTGTCAGGGCGTCTCTGTTGCTTCCTCCCATCTTGGCTTTGACTCCCCCTTTACACCTCTGTCCTCCAAGATGGCCAGCGCCCTGTGCTCCAAAGCATCCCTCGTTGTCTGGACTCCTTGCTATCAGCATGAGTCTTCCTTTGTTTCTGCTGTAATTTCAGCAGCCAGAGGCCAACACCCAACTCAGAAGTGGCCACTGAAGTCTGACAGACTCAAGAGTCCACCAGGTTCGGATTGAAATTTGGGACCATGCTACTTAGTTGTGTGACCTTGAACTTGCTCATTAACTTCTGAACATTAATTTCCTCCTATGTTAAATGGGGATAGCAAAGGCCCCACTGTTCTGAGGATTAAATAACGACAAATAAGTACTAGTAAAGGCCGCGGCCCATGCAGTGGTGGTGGAGTGCTGCCTAAATCACAGTTTGTTCATTCCATCACTGGCTTAGAGCTAATAACAGCTTAGCTGAATACAAAGAGAAGTTCAGGTAGGTAAAGGAAAGTTTTGTGTGTGAGGAAGTTCAAATCTAATGGCAGAGCAATGGAGTGGACAGGGGTTTACCTCATCTTCGACACATGGCAATGTTCAGTGGGTTGCTTGCTGCTTACTTCCCAGGTTTCTGCTCCTCCAACCTTAGCAGCCTTCTCTTGGAGACCTTAGCTCAGTTATCAAACCACTTTTAGACTCCTGAGTTGCCAGTTGCTGTTGTCCCCACTGAATTGTGAGCCAGAAAGAATAAGTGCCACTTATTGAATGCTTCTTACGTTCCAAGATTTTATATAAACAGGCTCAGAAGTTTGAAGTGTGCATTATTATAACCAAGCAACAAGCTTGAAGCTCAGAGAGGCCCAAAGTCACACAGTATCTAAATGGTGGAGTCCAGACTTGAACTCAAGTTCACTTGACTCTAAAGCCCATGTTCCTTCCCTGAATGGTTATTGAAAAACAGAAAAGCCAGTGCCTGCTTCAAATTATTCCGTTTTATTTCAAACCACCTTGGGGAAAATAGATTGTAAAACATGCTCTAATGTAAGTTTGTCAGAATGACAAATACAGCAGTCGAATACAAAATAATGCAGACCCAAAAAAGGCCTCAGTCTTGGTGTGGGGTCCTGTGATTATACAGCTGGAAAGACTAGAGGAGTTGGTGGTTCCTCAGGCACATAAAGCAGGAGGGGGTGACCAATACAGCCCCCAAGTATGTATTAAGCACCACTTGCATGCAAAGAATTATGCAGGGCTCCACAGACAAGCACAGATGGACTCGAAGACTGTCCGCTGCCCCGACAGCCTTTATCTGGTGGAGACTTTCCGACTTGACTCTAAAGTGAGTCCTGGATGGTCTGGAACAGACGCAGAGGCAGCTAGCGCTGATGGAGAAAGAGCCCCATCTTTGTTCTGTCTGTGTTCCTCTTAGCCAGTGTAGCAGTGACTAGCCAGGTGTCTGTGGGAGACCTTTTCCTGCGGCACTGCTGTGGCAGTAACTCAGATTAAGGGATCAGGGAAGGAGGCATTCCAGGCCCTAGTGTTGTCAGGGCAACCGTGAGTCAGGCCAGGGCCTCCCCTCCGGCTTTCTGGAAAGATCTCCTGTCTGTAGCTTCTTACTGCATCCCAATGGGAAACGGAGAAATTCAGACTTAAAGGGGAAAAATATCTGCATTTACTTCTAGCTGGGTTCCTTGAAATGAACTTTTTTTTTTTTTAGTTAAAACCCTTTTCTTTTTATATCTACAAAGAATAGGGAGGGAAGAAGGGAGGGAGGAGAAGTGAGGGAAGATTAAACCTAGTCCTACTGACAGCCTTCCATGGAACCTGTCGTCAGGAATCAGACCCAGCCTGGAGTTTATTAAGGAGACTAATAATGCTCACTACGGTTCACTGAGTCTTACCTTGTTTGAGGCACTGTACTAAGCAGGTGCTTTCATTTCATCTTGTAACAACCTGTGAACTCGGTATTCGTATCCCCGTCTACAGATGAAGCTCGGAGAAGCTAAGGCACATGGTCAGAATCTCTAAACTTAACTCTGTGGGACCCATAGTTTGTGCTGTTAACTGCTGTTATCTACTGCCTCCCATTTCTTCAACATGGATCCTTAATAAAGAAGCCAAAACAGTTCCATTTCTCTCTGATTTGCAGCCCTGACCACCCTGTGGACCCTGCATGTAAGGTCTGGACTTGGCTGAAAGCAGGCAGATGGCTCCTGGCCAGCCCAGTCAGGGCAAGGTGGGGACGGGCGGTAGTGCTGACCAGGGTAGAATGGAGGTTCCTAGGAGCCTTGGTGATGGGCCACCAGGGTCAAGCTGAGTCCCTCTCCTCCTTCCTCCTTAGGGACTTGGTGGAGAGAGCTGTGAAGAGGCTCCCCATTTTGTGTTTCTGATGCTGGGCCCTAAGAACCCTTTTATTAGCAGAGAAGCCGTTAGCTGAGGGAGATTCTCATGAGAACCCTCACATTCCTGACTCTAGTGCCCCGGCTTAGGCTAGCTTATCGGGTTCTCACCATCTCTTGAATGAAACCCACTGGTTCTTTATAAAATAATGCCCAGATTCTCAAACTAGCCTAAGTGTTATAAGACAGGTGTGTCATTACTATTAATCAGGTTTATGGGAAGTTAGATTTTAATGGTAAAATGTACCAATGAAAACTCTTATCCCTACCAGTAATTTTATTTAAAGAATGAACATCGGTACAACAGACTTTTTCCTTTAAATTTCAGTAGAGTGTAAGAAGTACAATACCTTTTAAGAACTAAATTCGGTCAGTTTTTTATTTACAGGATAAAAAAAACCTAAAATTATGTCTTCAAGGGATTGAAATTAAATAGATTTAAGCTAAACTCAATAAAGAAAATTAAACAAGTTATAAACCATGACATTTGCCATTCTAACACTGCAAATACAATCCAAAAACTGCATGGCCCCTTGCCCAATTTTCTGTAGGTAAGTTATTGATACAAATTCTAAAATCTCTGATAAAATTGCTGTGTGTGTATTATCCTATTTTGAGTCGTCACTGAAAAGTGCCACATTTATTGTGTCAGAAGTAAGGCAGTAAATTGCTTTGCATAGTTAACCCTGAATCATTTAATAATAATGTACAAATAAAAATATTATTTTTTCCTCCATTTTAACCTAGTTTATCTTGAATTACTCAATGGCTTGCCAAACCAAAGGTTCGTTATACGTTTTGAAATCAATCTGGAAGAAAATGCCCCTCAGATTCCTGCTAATAAGATCTAATTAAGGCCATCTTGAGCACCTGACA